TCCATCGATTTCTGGAGGCTTATTTTTTTGCCAGTTCCTTCAGTGCAGCTTTGACTTCTTCCTTCAGTGCCATTCGTCCCTGATCATATGCCACCTCCTGAAATGGATGAACATCGACCAATTCTTTTTGGTACAGTGACTCTGTGTATTCCTTCCCTCTTCTTTTGATGTTTCCTGCATCATTCAATATTTTACCCATAGAATCTTTCAATATTGCAACTTGAGGCTTGAATTTTTTCCTTAGTTCTTTCAGCTTGAGAAATGCCGAGTGTGTTCTTCCCTTTTGGTTTTCTAACTCCAGGTCTTTGCACATTTCTTTATAGTAATTGACTTTGTCTTCCTGAACTGCTCTTTGAAGTCTTCTGTTCAGCTCTTTTATCTTGCTATTTACTCAGTTAGCTTTAGCTACTCTCCATTCGAGGGCAAGTTTCAGAGTCTCTTTTGATATCCATTTTTGTCTTTTTTTCCTTTCCTGTCTCTTTAATGACCTTTTGCTTTCTGCATGGGACCCAATAACAAATTATGGATAACATAACATTAAGAAGAGTAGAAATTCCTGAACACTTAATTGTGCTCATGAGGAACCTGTATATAGACCAGGAGGCTGTCGTTCAAATAGAACAAGGGGATCCAGCATGGTTTAAAATCAGGGAGGGAGTGTGTCGGGGTTGTCTCCTTTCACCGTACTTACTCAGTCTGTATGCTGAGCAAATAATCTGATAGGCTGCACTATATGAAGAAGGCTATATTCATCAGGATTGGAGGAAGACTCATTAACAATCTGTGGTATGCAGATGGCACACTACAGTCTGCAGTATGGATCACACCTCAACATAATATCCTCACAACTGGACCAATAAGTAGTATGATGATAAATGGAGAAAAGATTGAAGTTGTCAAAGATTTTATATTACTTGGATCCACAGTCAGCACCAATGGATGGAGCAGTCAAGACATCAGACAACATATTGCATTGTGCATATCTTCTGCAAAAGACCTCTTTCAAGTGATGAAGAGGAAAAATTTCTCCTTGAAGACTAATGTGCACCCAACCCAAGCCATGGTATTTCAGTAGCCTCATATGCATGTGAGAGCTAGACAGTGAATAGGAAGCCCGAAGAAGAGTTGATGCTTTCGAGTTGTGGTGTTGGCGAAGAATACTGAAAGTGCCATGGACTGCCAAAAGAACTAACAAATCTGTTCTGGAAGAACTGCAGCCAGAATGCTCCTTGGAAGCGAGAATGGCCAGACGTTGTCTCACTTACTTTGGTCATGTTGTAAGAAGGGACCATTCCCTGGAGAAGGATAACATACTTGGTAAAGTGGTGGGTCAATGAAAAAGTGGAAGACCCTCAACAAGATGGATTGACACAGTGGCTGCAATGATGGGCTCAGGTATAGCAGGGATTGTGAGGCTGGAACAGGACCGGGCAGTGTTTCATCCTGTTGTACATAGGGTCACTATGAGTCGGAGATGACTCGATGGCACCTACAAACAACAACCACATCTGGAGCAAAGAAGAATGAAGAAAGTCAAAGAAGCATGGAAACAATTACTCCAGGGGACTAGTGGACCATGTAAACCTCAGCCTACATGACCCTGAGATCAGAAGAACTAGATGGTACCTGGCTACCACTATCAACCACTCGGAAGGGGATTAGTGTAGGACATCCTGGATAGGGTGGGAGAAAAATGTAGAACAAAACTCAAAATCATTAAAAAAAAAAAAAGGCCTACTGGTGTGTAGAGACTTGGGAAACCCCTGAGACTATGGCCCCTAAGCACCTTCCAGGCCTGGAATTGAACTTACTCCCGTAGCTTCCAGGCAAACAGTAGCCAGACATATTGTGAACATTTGCACCAGGTAGATACACTCCATGGGATGGTCAGCCATGGGAGATTAGAAGGGCAATATTTGCTTCGGAGATAACTCAGAGGCCAGGGATGCAGAGGAAAAGAAGGGCAGAAGGAACAGGTAACCACAGGGAGGAAGTGAGAAGAGAACTGTTGCATTATGGGAATTGCAATCACTGTCATGAAACAAAACATGTATGAACTGTTGAATGGAAAATGAATTTGTTTTGTAAACTTTCAACCACATTACATTTATTTTTAAATGAGAACCTAATTTGTTATGAAAATTTTCTCCAAATTCATAATAAAATATTTAAAAAGTGAGTTAAACAGGTTTTTTTTGTTTTTTTTTTAGATAATAAGCAGCAGGAATAGCCTATAATTTGGAGAACTAAACATGTACATTAATTCAAGCAACAAACATTTTTTGAACATCTTTATTTAAGGCCTATGAATCAACTAGCAAACATTTTTAGATCAACTAATAAACTTTTGAAAGGTGAAATGGTATGAATGACTGACCTGATAAGGGCAACATTAGTGAAGGAATGATGAAAGTGAAGATTGGGGTGGTTATGAGATTTTTCAAAAAGTAACTTTGTAATATAACACACATAGAGAACAATTCATACATTGTAATTGTATAGTGCCAAAACTTTTTGCAAAGTGAACAATGTATTTCCTGAAGTAATGGATATGGATTAAAGTAGAAGTGGAGAAAATCTTAAACAAGGGTGAGAAATTAAAAATGCAAGAGCAGCATGCCCTTTTAAAATGAAAGGCTGAAAATTGCCTTGGACACTTAAGAGTTGAGAAACCATTTTCCTGTGGTTTCACTGGAGTCTTAGAGCAACTTCATGAGCAGAATATGGAGTGTCTATATTAGGTATGGGAGCTCTGGTAGCCTAGTGTCTAAGGCATTTGAGTGCTTACCAGAAGGCTGGCGTTCAAAACCCACCAGCCACTCCTCGGAAGGAAGGAAGGTTGGGCAATCTACTTCCATACTGATAACTGCCTTGGAAACCCAAGGAAGGGTTGCTATGTGTCGGATCCAACTCCACGGCAGTGAAGTTTTTTTTTCCCGTGTTACATGTATGTGTGTTTCATGGTAAAGATCAAATGTGGGCTGTTTGTGACCCCGCCCCCCCCAAAAAAAAAACCTAAACTCAACTGCTGTCGAGTCGGATCCCACTCATAGAGATCCCTTGGGTTTCCGAGGTGGTATCACAATGGAAGTAGATTGCCCAGCCTTCCTTCCAAGGAGTGGTTGGTGGGTTTGAATGCCTTAGGTACTATGCCAAACAAAGCAGAGCTCCCAAACAAAACTCACTGCCGTGGAGTTGATCTGACTCATAGCGACCCCTCCTTGGGTTTCTGAGGTGATACCTTAACGGAAGTAGAATGCCCAATCTTCAAAATCAACTATTTATCAAATTAATTAAATCAATTATTGTTTTATTATTAACAGTTTTTGTTATTCCATGGTAGTTTTTATGATTCTTTTCCTTGATTTTCAAAGTTCATACCAAAAGAGCGACTTTAGCCTTTCAGCTTTGCAGTGGGCTCAGGCTCATTTGATATTCTGAAAATCATCTTTTTGGGAAGAGTTTAACAAAAAAATGATTACCTTTAATGGTAGGACTGCAGTCACTGCTGTAATTAGTGGATTTGCTAATAACTGTTACTAAGGCAGACATTGGGAGCTCTGGTGGTGTAGTGCCTAAGGCATTTGACCGCTAACCAGAAGGCTG